AGCTTTGCTGCCTTGTTTAATTTGATGTCAGCTTGTGAATTAATCTGTTAAGCCTTAGGATGAAGCTTTCCTTGGTAATCATTTTTGAAGGAATTCTCAAATGCCTTGTAAATTACCAAAATTCGTGCTAGTGATCCTGTTTATATTTTGTGCATTTTTAGCAAATTCAGTTTCAAATCTGATTGAGAAAATATGTTGAGTATCTGTCAAAAGATATAGATAAATTAATTAATCTTATTGCTTCTTTATATATCATGTAATGGATGTGAATAACTCTGAAATGTATGTTACCAAGTATGTTAAAAAGACCATCTGTACTCCAAATTTAAGCTGTAAAATAAATATTTTTTTCTTCATTTTTTTCAACCTCAGCAACACCCCAGGTAGTGCAGAATGTACAACAGCAGCAACAGAACCTAGACAGTGCTTTCCTAAAGAGAAAATCTCCCAAAAAGGTTCCACCAGAACTTATCCAAGCTTTCACAAATGGCACAAAGAATCCAGTTAGTGCACTGATGGAGTACTGCTCCATGACTAGAATGACTGCAGTGTTTGAAGAGGCTGCAGTAGAAACACCTTCCATTGTGGCCAAGTTTGCCAATGTTTGTAAGATTGATGGCCGCCCTTTTCCACAGGGTGTTGGAAAAACTAAAAAAGAGGCCAAGGTTAATGCTGCAAAGATTGCTTTTACAGCCATGCTCGGCATGGAAGAGGAGGACATCGAGGATGAAAGTGGTTGGTATATAAAGAATATGACAGAAGTAATGTTATGTAGGTTGAGATCATAATCCTGTACCAAAATTTGTGATGTGACAGGGAGGCTGATTTAATGTCTACTTTCATACTACCCCTCCCCCCCCCCCCAAAAAAAAGAAAGAAATTATTCCAGTGACAAGTAATTTACTAAAGCTTGAATAATATAGGTTTTGATCAGAGTCTAGATTTTCCATTACCATATTTTTAACTGCTTTATTTTACTGTAGAACACACTGGGATATACAACCATTAATATCTGATGTATTATTCACAGAAACGGGACGTGTGATGTATGATGTCATGGGCAGAAAACTCATGCTGCCGAAAGAAGAATTTCCAGTTGAAGAAACAATTGACAGTGAAAATGCCCCTTACGATGCAGGTATGAACAGATGCCTGTCATAATCCCAATATTAAATTAACACATTTATGTTTTTTAATATTGAGAGAATACTTTGATTCACCATTCACTTGACATATGTTATCATAATAATTTTTTAACTCAAAATACTGACAACACTTGAACACAAAATATGTATGCAGTCAACTAGTATACTTTAAATGGTAGTCTATTATTATTTTACTTTCTGTCCTCAGGCTCACAACCTGTTGCATATGGTAGAAATCCTGTTGGTGAGCTACAGGAATACTGTGTCAAAAAAAGAATACCTTTTCTTATTGAAATCAGTGATACACCTGGTCCTAAAGGGTAAATTGTGTTGCAAATTATGGTTACTGTTTTGTTAGGTGGGATTTTGTATTCATAGATATACCTAGAAATTGAAAGTAACATAGCATTATGAAAATGTCATGTATTGCAGGAGAAGAAAGATTTCAAATTCATGAGCTTTTTTTACAAAATTATTTTTGTGCTATGAATTAGGTACCTAATTTTAATAAGTTATCTCATTTAGCAATGGTAAAATTTGTTTACTTACTCACTTTCAAGTTTTGTCTCTTTCCCATGTTGGTCTTGACAATAGCATGGTACCACACTGTATTTCATTGCTAGTTCTTTTTTAACATAGCTTTGTAGCCACAGTAACAGTAGATGATGAGCCATTTGCCACAGCAACAGGACCAAGCAAGAAAGATGCTAAAAGACAAGCAGCAGATGCAGCCTTGAGTCTTCTGCTGAAATTTGATGAGGTATTATTGGTGTATAAAGTTATATCTTGCATTTGACTTATTTCTTTTCTGTGCAGTACTCATTGAATCTGATTTCATAATATTTGTTTGTTTATTTAATATACAGCAGAATTGTGAATCCTTAAGAGATTATTACAGCAGGTAGCCATCTCTGAAGGTCCACTGGCAAGCAGAGATTTGAGGATAATTGCGATAACCACTGTTTTGGTGTTAAAATGGAGTTTATTATATTTCCATGTGTTGCTTATAATGTATTTATTGTGAATTTTTGAATCTCATATGAATAGCTATAATCCCTTCAATCAAAATGTATGTGAACAATTCAACAAGAACTGTTTTCAGCCAGAAGAAGTGGAAGCAGAGCTAACCCACTATGATAAAATGGCCAGTATGAGTCATCAACAGCTACACAAATTAACAGCTTCTTTGCCAGAACTAGAGGAAGGAAATAAAGTTGTGGCAGCATTTGTGGTCAAACGAGGTAAGTTATTGTGGTAGTTGCAAGATGTAACTGAGTGCTTCATTGTTTAAAGAGTTCCTTACAAGAACCACTGTCAAGAGGTGTTAAAATCAACGATATTAAAACGTTGTAGGATTATTATATTGTTACTTATAATCAGTGTAAGATATTGAAACTGTGGGACATGCATTTTTTATTTAGTTCAAAATACCAGTTGCTGTTGTTGTTATTATTATTACTGTTATTATTCAGAATGAGAAAGCACCAGGTGTGACAGTAAAAGTATGTTTCAACCTTCACATTCAAGGTGAAGCAGACAGTGGCCAGGTTGTAGCATTGGGCACAGGAAGTTTATCCATCACTGGAGAACAGCTTAGTGCTGATGGAAGAACAGTCAATGATAGCCATGCAGAGATCATTGCCAGAAGAGCTCTTGTAAGGTAAGTGTTAGTTTTAAACGCTTTTATTTGCATTAAAGTTGTAAATATTTATTGCCAAATAACAAGGAAAACTTAAATTTGTAATAACGATTATTTTGATAGCTTTGTGGATAAAGGTAAGGTATATATCACAAAATTAAGCTTGCTGGTATTTATTATGATCGTATTGTCTAAATTCATTATTAAACAGTTGGCTGAATGCTGAAATGTTCCCAATTCCATCACACCAGGTACTTCCACAGAGAGCTGAAGTCATTTTATGAGGGGAACACAGTACATTCAATATTTGAAGAAAGATACAAAGGTGCACCACTGCTGACTCTGAAGGACTACATAACAATACACCTCTACATCAGCACAGCACCTTGTGGAGATGCTGCTTTATTCTCTGCAAGGTAAAGACCAAGGAATTTGTTGCAAAAGGGCACAATCCAGTTTTTTTTTATGTTAATTTGTAAAAGCTTTTTGCCTTTTCTTTGCCTACAACTAATTTGCAAGTGAGGTAAGATAAATGTGAAATAATAAATGTGCAAATGCTTCATTTCTTCTTCTTCTTCTTAAGAAATGAAAAGATGATTTTAAAGAAGGGAATTATAGTGGAATGATTTTAAGGTATGTAAATTTGATGTAGTTTAGTTTGCTTACTACTTTTAAATTTTAGGTCTGGGACACCCCCTCCCTTATCACATGAAGAATGGGAATTAATACAGAGTGGTGCCCATTACCCAACGTTTGAAACTAGTGATCATGGGGTGGCAAGAACAAAAATTGAAGGAGGTACAATTTTAAGTGATTTTAGGTTAAAAAAAAAAGATTTAAGACACGAAGTACTTATTTGTATTAAATTGCTTACCTTGTTGTTTAGAGAGAAAAAGGATAGATTCAGTAATTCAGATTGATTGATTTTCAACTTTTCAATACACATAAATGAACCACTCTGTTTGTAGGAGAAGGTACCATCCCCACAGAGAAGGACCAGCTAACTACCCAGACTTGGGATGGTATAAAGAGTGGGCAGCAGAGACTGAGGAGCATGTCCTGTAGTGACAAGATATTGAAGTGGAATGTTCTAGGCTTGCAAGGAGCTCTGTTTTCTAACTTTCTTGAACCAGTGTATGTCTCTTCAGTTACATTAGGTGAGCGTTTGGTGAGACAAGACTATGTAAATGAAGGGAAGTAAGTTTGAATGAAGAATGTGAAAGGAATTTTTTATAGGATATTGCTCTTCCTTTACATATTAACTGTTAGCCATTAGCTCCATTCTCATTTTCTTGGTTTGAAGTGTTATTATGATTAAAATCATATTTTCCAGGTAATCTCTATGACCATGGTCATGCCACCAGAGCCTTTTGTTGCCGGCTGGAGGGCATCATCAGAGATCTACCAGAGGGTTATTGTGTCAACCACCCTTATATAGGTCGCACTACTCACTGCCAAACACTCCGCCATGCCAACCCCAAGATGTCAATACTCAGCACAAACTGGTGCCAGGGGGATGAGAAAGTGGAAATTATAGATGCCAGGTCTGGAAAGGAAATACCGAGGTTAGAAGGGTCTCTGTTTCTCTTGGATATTATAGTTTAGGTGTACAGACATACATATATTCATGTATGTTAGAAGCCTTTAAATTAATTTAAATTTAAAAAAAATTAGATTTTTTAAAAATGTTAAGTTAATTGCTGGCTGCAAAAGGGAAGTAAAGCTTTACTTTTTATNTGTTAAGATTTGTATGAAGTTCAATTTGCTTTACATTTTCAATATATTTGTCATTAAGTTATTATTAATGGGTTTTTAAGAATTATTTTATATTTTACAAGTGGAGAATTATGCCTCATAACATGCAGAACTTTTCTTTTTGCAGCTCACCATTCAAGACAGGAGCAACTCTAGCTAGCAGAATGTGCAAGGCAGGATTTTTCCACAGATACAAGGAAATAGCAAAAATGGCCAAAAAGCATCATTTACTCAAAGTGAACACTTACAGGGATGCCAAATTATCGGCTCAAAGCTACCAGCAAGCCAAGCAAGTTTTCTATCATTACTTGCAAGCTGGCGGGTGGGGCAGTTGGGTTGTTAAACCACCAGAGCAAGAATTATTTACAAAATAATCGACATTCAATTCTGTTAGACATCAATTTTATGTTAAAGGTGCTCATCGAACATTCCCCACATGCAGTGATAGAATGGATTTTGTGTTGCAATATATTGATATTTGTGTTCAATATTTATATAAATAATTTCTTAACAGTTATGTGCAGAAGTGCATTTACAGCATCTAGTCCACTGAGTGTGGTGAAACTTTTAAAGTTTAAAAACATCATGTATCAGTATTATATAGTTTATTGTTATTGTTAGTTATTATTCACCTTATATACCAAAAATAGCCTCTAAGCCAAGAATACAGTACGTATTATTTCTGAATGTATTATGATATACCAAGCTTCTTGTCTCCTTGTGACAAGGACAGAAGAAAGAATAGTTTTGTCATTTTCACATTTTAATAAGAAAAGCTGCAGTATTTGCAAATATAAAGCATTATTCCTTGAAATACATGGTCTGAACCATCTTGCTTCATAGTGGAATGAATAATGACACAATGTACAATGTTACAGAGGCAGGATTGTTTCATAGTGTTTAAAATAGTCTTGTGAAGCTTTTTACTTCCAGCCACAATAAAAGATAATAAAGATTTACCTAGAAACATTGCAAAGGAACATTAGTTGTGGAAATCAAGAGATACATAAAGCTATTATGAGCTGACAGCTCTAGCACTGAGAACCAACATGGAAGGTGAAATATTTCCAATGGCCATCCACCACAGATGCATATGATGATGATGTGTCCTACAAAGTTTACTCAACATTTAGACAAACAGCAAATTGTGGTTTGTGGCATAACTTTCCAGAACAATGTATTTTTTGAGTGCAGCTATTTATGTGTATTAGTAACAACTTCCCAAAAGGCCAATGTGTTGATGTACCAGTAGGGTGGGCTTTGGATTTGTGGTTGGTTCCTTGAAGAAATGTGGAGTGACTTTTGTCCCCTTTTATATTTTTTGAGTTGCAACTACTGTAGGTCTATGTAATGTAGGGGTCCGCCATATAGATAAACGTCCCATAAAATATTCGTCCCGATAGATACGTCTCTATACATACACGTCTCAATAGATTTACGTCTCGTTAAATTTACGTTCCGATAGATCCGCCAACAGATTCCTATAAACCCACGTATCTTTAGATCCAGGTACCGCTAGATCCATCTATCTGACATCGTAATCGGCTAAAAGGCCGATATCAACTTGTGATACAGGTATGAAGCTTTCGAGTGATAGTCTGGCTGCGAATACTGATCCACTTAGTGATCTGACTTAATCACAACCTGGTATTTATTATTTATTCATTTATTTATGTATTTATATATTTATTAAGAGTTCAAACAAGACATGCATGTACGTTCGCGTCTACACGTCTATCACACTCTAAAGTTCGGGAACGCGTCGTAAACATGAAACAGAACACATTTTAAGTGTGCAAATGTTACATTTTGAGAACGCTTTAAACTGTGTTCCGACGCTAGAACAGTAAGCGTTGTGATATATAGAACACATTTTTGTTCTTTTTATGTTCTTTCACTATTTCAGTATTGTGTGAAAACGATCTAGTAGAATAATATATTGCTGAAAGGATTAATATGTGTACTGTCGTTTTAAATAGTAGTGTACCAACCATTTTGAGCAAAAGCATACCTGTAATGGATCTATCGGTATTTGGATCTCAAAATACGTGGATCTATAGGCATGCGGATTTAAAGGACGTGGGTTTATGAGGACGTCGTATCTATAGGAACGCAAATATATAGGACAGCAGTAAAAAATCGGATCTATCGGTATTTAAATCTAAAAAGACGTTTTTTCAGTTTTTCCTTTATGTATCTATCGGTAACGGGAGTATAGGGACGTGTTATATTTTGGGACTAAATTTTATCCGTACGTACCCGTAATGTAGGTTTTCTGGTTACTACCTGTTTTAATTTTTATTTATTAATTTTTTTTTGGGGGGGGGGGGGGTATGAAATATTTATTCTGTCAAAACATTCATTATGTATTTAATTGATGTTGGGCGCTGGTTGACTGTGGGTCTCGGACTGAGGCATAATTGTTTAATGAGTTATTATATCGTGGCCAAACATGGTGTTTCTGGACGTGTACATTGCCTGCGTCCGTCGTCACCATCTCATGTGCCTTCTCGACTACTACTAGTAATAAATAAAAGGAAAACCATATACATGTATACTGCTTATTATGTTCAAACTTTATAACTTTAATACAGCTTTTGTTCAAAAACAAGCCCCGTCTTTCTTGAAGTTGTGCTGTTTTTGTCATTTTTCGTGTCTTCACAAATTTTCATTAGTAGCCAAATAAATGTTTCGTGTTACATGTATTATACCATCTCCAAACTCGAGAACCAGTCTGATTGGACTGATCAGGCCTTTTGAGGTTATGATTTTTTTCACAATTTTCTGGGTGTGATTTTGTATGCACATGGCCTGAAATAAAATCTTTCTTACTCCGACCATACATGATAGTTCGCTTTCGTGTTCGATTTTGTAGTATCAGTCACAAGCATATACCCCTTTTCTGTCAAGATAAGCCAATCACTTAACGCGAACGTTTAACGTTAACGGTAGTGTGTTTTGTTTCTATATTGCTTTTAGACTTTCTTAGGTCTTTTTGAAAGGACGCTGTAAATAATGGCAATATAATTTCCAGGTAGGCCGCCTGGGTGCAGAGTTTTGAAAGAAAGAGACAAATGTAAAGACTTAAGGCATGTTGTAAAGGGGCGTCAAAGAGTTGCCTGTGCTAAATACTAGTAGGTCGTTAGTCACCATATCGCCACCGGGCATCTATTTTATTTTACAGAACAACACGGTCTTTAACGTACTTCATAGTTGTTTATTTAAATATGTTTAATAATTTATCCATAAATATCCATAAAGTGTTGGTGGATTGCCAACATGACTTACTTTACACCTGCCTTTGAAACTGACCCAAGGTCATATATTGTACATGTGTGAGCACTTATGTCTACATGTCTTGCAAAGCTACTTATTTTCCCCCATTTAGGCCTTAAAACGATACAACCTATCAATTAATGTAGTGATGTTGATCTTTCCTATTGAACTTACAGAAAACATGAATGAGTTAAATTATATGATTAATATGTTATAAAATATCAAATCCAAGTGTAAGGGTGCACATGTGTGAAGCAATGGTTCGTGAGCAACCTTTTGTGAGCAGTGTTAACTGTTACTTTGATTGCATTCAGCTAGAATCCCCATGGAGTTGGATCGATCTTAAGAGAACAGTAGTTTCATTGGGAATGAGGCCATTAGCAAGCTGAGTGATGACGTTAATTACATACTAAAATTTTTGGGTAATAAAAAAGAGATGTACAGAATTAACCAGAGACAACCATGTTCCGGTATCTGTGAATATCTCGTAAAAACTCAATCCATGGCCATTTTATATTAGAGTGTATCTGAATGCCTGCATGTGCAATGGTGTAGACATGGAGTAATGCTTCCACTTCAAGTGGATAATAATATCACCATGCCTTGGGTCTTAGACCACCTAAGTAACATTTTGATATATTACCAAAATTTTGTTATTCTGAAATTTAAATAAGAAAAATTAATTGCAAGGAAGAAGTGTTTGTTAATTTTTAACTCTCATTTGTAAATTGTTTGTTGCCATTTATGTCTATAGTAAAGTTGACCTGGTTATGTTATCATGAAGACTATTTGAAGTATTTTTTTTCAGATGTGTAGATTGCCTGTGTAGTGTTTGTAGCCATTTGTCTTCTGAGATTTCAAAATGACGGTGACTTATACAGCAGAGGTTGCCACCAGTCACTTTGGCACCTTCTGGAGGCTCCTTCTCAGGTAAAAATTTAATTTGATTTAAACAAAATATACACCAATATGAGCCTAAGATAATACTCCTAAAGATGGCATTTTTATATAAGGAAACAGTCATTTTAATGTTTTTATAAATAGTGAAATCTAGAAATTTTATATTATCCAGTCGTGAAATGATTTAATGCATACATGTACATGCATTCTTTGATTTGCAATTACTAGTATGTATTTTATTTTATTTGTCAATTTTTTGACAATTTTTTTTTACCTTAGCTGAAAGTAAATGGTGAAAGTGTCTCCAATTTTTTAACAGAAAAGATAATCTATATATGGTGTAGTTTTTGTCATGCCCTTTCATCCAAAATTTCATGTATGTTAATTTCGAAATGATAAGTTTTTCTCTCTATATTCCAGGTGGAAAGGCAGTGTGTATAAATTGCTGTGGGTAGAATTGCTGATATTTGTTGTGGCATACTTCACAATCAGCTTTATCTACAGGTTTGCTCTTCCCGAAAATCATAAAAGGTACGACTGAAAACCTTTATTATTATTTATTGTTATGGTTATATCAGTGTCAAATAATATTTTGGATTTTTCTAAAGACTTTAATGCAGGATATATATATATGCAGTTATTACACTTACAAATGTCAGTTTTATTTTTTTTTTTTGTCTGTTTGAAAATAAGAAAAGATCAGTTTTATTTGTGTCTTCCAAATTTAATGTCTAAATGATATGTAAACAACTTTGTCTATAATTGTTTCATGTGCCAACATTTAATTTCTGCTGTTCTCACTTTACTTTCAGAACCTTTGAAAGAATCTCCATATACTGTGAACTGTACAACAACTTAATACCAATGGCATTTGTGCTGGGTTTCTACGTGTCAATAGTAGTTACCCGTTGGTGGGAGGAATTCATGTCCATCCCATGGCCTGACAAGATGGCCCTTTACGTTACTGCAAACATACATGGTCATGATGATAGAGGGCGTCTCATAAGGAGGACCATAATGCGTTACATTTGCCTCTCTTTTGTTATGACTGCTAGAGCTATTAGTACAGCAGTAAAGAAAAGGTTCCCGACTGATGACCATTTAACAGAAGCAGGTCTGTAATTTAAATTATTATTTTACATGTAGAAATAGTTACAGAGGTTTTTGTTTTCTGTCCCAAGGGAATTTACTTGTGTTTCTGCAATTAACACATTATGAAGTTACACAACATTTGGATAATTTGAATTGTTTATTTCTTTTAGTTGAGAACATAAAACAGCATTATAGCTTTTGTTTTCATTAATCAAGGTTTACAAACAGAAAACGAACAGAAAATTATAGAGGGTGTGAAAACTAACAATAGTAAGTATTTTGTGCCACTGGTATGGACCACCAGCATCATTTCTAGAGCAAGAAAAGAGGGAAGAATTAGGGATGATTTTGCCATGAAGACCCTAGTGGAGGTACAATGAAATTACATTTCAATACACCCTTGATAAAATAAACATTAAATAAACAAGCAGATTAATCTTCATACTGCAGAAGCTAAAAGTAACTGCTTACCAAAGGTATAAAATCTGCCTTCAGCCCTTGTTGGAATGCTCTTTTGTGAATAAAATATGTAAAGAAATGAAAATCCATGATCATTTGAAAACAAAAATATCATCTGATCTTGTATTTATTTTTCAGGAGTTAAATTTTGTAAGAGGGCAGCTTGGAGGGTTGTTAAACTATGATTGGATAAATGTTCCTCTGATTTATACACAGGTATATGGGTATGAAAGCAGATAGTATTTTGAATGAATTGTGTTCTTAGTCATCCAGTAGAATTAGAATTAAAAATAGATATGAATAGAATTATGTGGTAAAATTCAGGGGCCGACCCAGAGCTATTTTCTGACAGTCTTCCAAATTATCTTTGTTGATTCACCCTCTAATTTTGACTGTCTTCCAACATGAAAAATTGGATACCCGTCAATGTAAACTTGAAAATCTGACCGTCTTCCGGAAGACCCAGAAGACGGCCTAAATCCGCCCCTGAAATTCAATAACAAACTTACAGAGGTGACCAGTCCCACCAGGTCATTACATCGTGAAATGTCTCAGGTATGGGACCACAGTATTTTGGCTCTGAATTTTACCACAGAGTTCCAGAATTTAATTTATTTATATGCTTGATATAAATAGCATTCTGTTATGTCATATTAATTGATAAAGCTTTTGATGCATAGGCCTTTAGTTTTGTTTTCTTTATTGATTAAATATTCAGTGTTTTGTACAAATGCATATCTTTGACATGTTTAATATTATTAATTGAAATATTATTAGAAAATTTACACAAATTATATTTTGCAATAATTTGACATTATTGTATCATTTTTCTTGAAGAAATTCATCTGATGTGGGCAAACACACTATTCACCATTGATGCCATTGAATTTTATGACCTTTTTTTTCCTTTCATTTCATATGTTTTGAATATTCCAGGTTGTGACTATGGCTGTATACACTTTCTTCCTTTCCTGTCTCATGGGGAGACAGTTCCTGGATCCACAGCAGGGTTATGATAACCATCAGATTGACTTCTATATCCCCATATTCACCATCTTGCAGTTTATCTTTTATATGGGATGGTTAAAGGTAAGGACCACATTTTATATTTTTTGGAGGGATGGTTTAAGGTTACCTTCTATCAGGGGAGCAGATATTATAGGCACATTTTCCACATTTCCAAAAAATAAATAAATAAATAAAATAATGTGGAAAATGTGCCTATAATATCTGCCATCTTGATAGAGGGCAGTGATTGGGAAGGAACGGGCCATTGCGCCATACGCGCATAGAATCGTAACTGGGCGCATAAAAAGCCCTGTTTGTGCGCCATAAATGCGCGTGATTTTGTTATGCCTCGCATTTTTAAAAAGAGTCTACTCGTCAATAAACTATTCGTCAAGTGATTAGCGTAATTTTCCTCTCATACCTGAAGATGTCTCAGGAACGAATTCGGAAGCTATCGAACGCAATCGCCGAAGTTTGCCAAGAGCAATGAGCTCATCGTCCCAATAGCTTTGCTAATGAAATAAAAGCTGATATCTTATTGGCCAATCAGTTTATAGGTCATGTTTATCCAATTAGAAGTAACCTTGCTTTTCTTTCTGAAAGCACATGAGATTTTTTCAAGCAGCACTTTGATGAAGTGAAAAGAGAAATGCTGCCGAAAAAGATTTTTAAAAACTTGCCAGACTAGCCTACATTTGTTAGTTTATGTACTTCAACCGCTTCATCTAAGGGTCCGTCCAACGTTCAGGAAAGTCTCAAAGGAGACGGGGAATAAAATGTACCAACTTCTGAGAGCAGCAGTCCTTGCACTACAACAAGTAGTAGTGACACTGACAGTAGTGTTACTGCTAGTGCTAGCACCTCTCACTCTCAGGTCGCACGAGGTTTCAAACCCCGATGGCTTCAACTATGGCCCTAGCTCCAGTACGACAGCACCCAAACGAAAATGTTCTGCGAATCACCTGCTAAGAGTTAAGATTCTTGGGAGTAAGATAAGTTATGAGGATGCACTGAATGTATGGCGCAGGAAAAAGAGATTACTTCATTAAGTAAGGAAATCTCTTTTTCAGTAAGACTGATTAATAAGTACTAGACAGTATGTGCAGACAATTTCATTTACATTTTCTCAGTTTTGAGAAATCAAGGTTTTCAGAGATCTAGATTGTTTACCTCTTGCTGATGGTTTCATCAAATAAAAACCCAATTACTAATGAGTATTACATGTTTTCTGATCATTTTGTTTTTTCATTTAGTCTTCAAATAAGTTCAGTAAAGAAGGCATTGTAATGGTTTTATTGAAAAAGACAAATAAAAGTCTTAACTAAATAAATATATTAACAAAGTTTAACTGCAAAACTTTATCATATCATTCCCAAAAATATTGATACAGATATTTCAAATATATTTGTCATGTTTAAAAATGGCCCATAAATGTCAATCAATGGCCCATTGATATGCAAAATGGCCCATTAAGGGTGACCCAGGAGGGGCCATTGTCCCATGGGTGGTTTGAACCTTCCCAATCACTGAGAGGGTAGTTAAAGGATAGGGCTGCTTTTTTTTCAACTCCACTTTTAAGTCTGACCAGATGAAACAGTCAGTATTAAATAGTTCCCAAGAACCAAGTGTTTGATCATATGTTCTCTACAGTGGGAGAAAAAAAATATACAGTGTACTGTGCACAGACAGTAAATGGTTATGTCATGTTAATTTATGGTCAATTAAAGAAAAAAGGGTTATATAATGTGGCAGTTACCGTGTAAGGTGATTTACAGTATGTAGGTGCATGCCCCATAGTAAGAAGTAATTAGTCCATAGGAGGTCCTGTTTAGTGTTATTTTGTCTGTTTCTATGGAGAGGGATGTAAGATTTATTTTGATTTTGTGGGGCAGCCAGTATCTAACCAGCCACCAATTTCTGGATAAATTGAGAAAAGGCTAATACCAATAATGTTCAGTTGTAAGTTGATGTTCATTGTTTCCTATATAATAGAGTGCTTTCCAACATGGTGGTCTAAAGGAAATGTATATGTTTTGGATAAGGATAGGCTCAACTATTCGCACATATTCTCTACATGTTTGAATTCATAAAATTTTGTATGTCCTATATTTCCACATATTTATGATAATACAAATGTTTCAATTCATTATATCATATAAAAATAATGTGACAAAAGGTTTTACATAGGTTTAGGAATAAATTGTGGTAGTTGAGACAAGATGTGCCACGAAGCACAATGGCACGCCCAGTTCCACGTTCATGCACAACCCCAAAATCATTTCTCTTTCTATCTACCTGAAGTGATCTTGGTACAATTTTTATCAAAACACAACCTTGTTTTTCTCCCTTTTTTTATATCATTTTAATTTCAGAAGACTTAAACATTTTACTTTGTAGGTTGCTGAAAGTCTTTTAAATCCATTTGGGGAAGATGATGATGACTTTGAAATGAACTGGCTTATTGACAGAAATCTGCAGGTAATGATATTCATCAAACACTGCTATCAAATTTGACAAAATTCACTGTGTATTTGAAGTATTATTCTTGAAAAATTTTT